CTCTGGTTCTTCTCTGGTTCTTCTCTTCAGTCCTGGTCAGGTTGTGTGTTTTCCATTTAAAGGATGTGTTTATTGTCTGCTGTTTTTCCTGCTGCAGCCAGGGGACGCTGGCGTGTTCACATGTGTGGCCACCAACACGGCCGGCTCAGTGAGACAGGACGTCCGTCTGTCCATCAACATGAGGCCTGTCTTCAAGGAGCTGCCCGCTGACCTGACCCTGAACAAAGGTCAAAGTCTGGCCCTGTCCTGCCATGCTCAAGGGCGACCCCTTCCTGTCATCTCCTGGACTGTCAACAACAGCCCGTACACAGGTGTGGTGTTTCCCACGGTGTTAACATCCACTGCACCACTGCACCACTGCACCATAAAACCAAGAAACTCTGACTGTTCACACCGTCTGTTCACACCGACTGTTCACACTGACGATTCACACCGTCTGTTCACACTGACTGTTCACACCGAATCTTCACACTGTCTGTTCACACTGATGATTCACGCTGGCTGTTGTTACCGATGATTCACACTGACTGTTCACACTGATGATTCACACCGACTGTTCACACTGACGATTCACACCGTCTGTTCACACCGACTGTTCACACTGACGATTCACACCGTCTGTTCACACCGACTGTTCACACCGTCTATTCACACTGACTGTTCACACTGACTGTTCACACTGATGATTCACACTGACTGTTCACACTGATGATTCACACTGACTGTTCACACTGTCTGTTCACACTGATGATTCACACCGACTGTTCACACTGACGATTCACACCGTCTGTTCACACCGACTGTTCACACTGACTGTTCACACCAACTGTTCACACTGTCTGTTCACACTGATGATTCACACCGACTGTTCACACTGACGATTCACACCGTCTGTTCACACTGACTGTTCACACTGTCTGTTCACACTGACTGTTCACACCGTCTGTTCACACTGACTGTTCACACCGACTGTTCACACCGTCTATTCACACTGACTGTTCACACTGATGATTCACACCGACTGTTCACACTGATGATTCACACCGACTGTTCACACTGACGATTCACACCGTCTGTTCACACTGATGATTCACACCGTCTGTTCACACCGACTGTTCACACTGATGATTCACACCGTCTGTTCACACCGTCACAGGTGCCTCTGTGGACCAGTCCGGCCGCAGCTCCGTCCTAATAACCAATGCGACGGCGGCCGACGCTGGGACGCACGGGTGCGCGGCTGAGAACAGCGTGGGGTCGATCCGAGCCTTGTCCTTCGTCCGTGTCCGAGGTGATCGGAGAGTCACTGACCGTCAGCTCCTCCTCAGGATGACCGACGTCGGGGTAACTGTGTCCTGTGTCCTGTGTCCCTCCAGAGCCCCCGGTGCTGAGGGGGGAGGCCCACATGTCTCAGACGGTCGTCCTGGGTGGGACCACCATGCTGGACTGTCCCGTCCACGGAGACCCCAGACCCGTCCTGCGCTGGCTCCGCGATGGGAAACCCCTGGTTCGCTCCCTTCAGATCCAGGCCCTTCAGAACGGGTCCTTGGTGGTTCGTGGCGTCACCGTAAGTCTTTATTGATTGTCCATGAAGTGAGAACAGTCTCAGAACGGTCTGTCCTGGAGGTCTGCAGTCTTTATTGATTGTCCATGAAGCGAGAATAGTCTCAGTCTGTCCTGGAGGTCTGCGTCAGTTGGTCCACAGACGTCCAGTTAACCCCGTCTTCTCTCCTGGACCGCAGGCTGCAGATGGAGGACAGTACCAGTGTGTGGCCGAGAGTGAAGCCGGCTCGGTGGAGAGAACCGTGACCCTCAGGGTTCAGAGTAAGTACAGAGTACAAATACTACATCGGTGTGTACATGAAGTACTTGAAATGAAATACTGCCCCCCCCACCGACACAGTCAACGGAGGACACTCGGACTGGCAGGAGTGGAGTCCCTGCAGCGGCAGCTGTGGACCAGGGCTCCAGGAACGGCTCCGCTTATGCAACAGTCCAGAACCGGCCAATGGGGGCAGAGCCTGCAGCGGTCCCAGTACCGAGTCCAGGAAGTGTCAGGCTGGTCTGTGTCCAGGTACCGATGTTTTTGTTGTTGGTTCTTAACCTTCGAGGAAGAAGAAGAGTTGACACAGACGTGGTTTTATCAGTCGTTCACAAGTGAAAACACCGACCTCTGGTGGACTGCGTTAAAACTGCTCCACCTGGGTGTATCTGTCAGAGACGTCTTCTGAACTCACTTGTCCTCTGGGTGTTTGACGCTGACAGGGGAGACCCCCCGCCGGACCAGGGGCAGTTTGATTGGAATGGTCAACGAGAGGGAGTTCGGAGTGTCCTTCCTGGAGGCCAACATCTCAGACGACGTGGACCAGGGGACCAGCAGTCTACACGCACGGCTGGACAACATCCCCCCCAGCATCGGTGAGTGACCTACTGGAGTACATCTGGTACTGGAGTACATCTGGTACTGGAGTACATCCAGTACTACAGACCTTTATTTTGACAAGACCCCTGGCGTGTACCAACAACTGGTCAGTCGACCTGGTTGTTACTGACTTGTCGTCTATATCAGTACTATATGACCTGGTACTGGTACTTCACAGACCCCCCCCCTCCCCCCACCCCTGGAGGTGTCTGTGAAGAACCTGATCCAGACTTGATGTCGTTCCAGGTCCTCTGCTCCGGGTCCTGGTCTCTGTCATTGCTCCCGTCTACTGGACCTCGGTGCTCCAGCGAGGGTCCACCAGGAACGGGTTCTCCTTCACCCAGGGCCACTTCAGACAGGAGTCCCAGCTGGAGTTCGACTCTGGTGTGTACTGCACTTTTCCTCTCAGCCAGCAGATGGCACTGCTGACTTAGTATGATAGACATGAGCAGCTT